GCTTCAGCATGGTAATCTCCATCAAGCCCACATGTCTTTCCACAAGGCCTGTGCCGGTGTGTTGGTGCCCAGCTGGTCCAGCTGTTGTGCCTTTCGGCACCCTTTCCACGTTGAACCTTTCCATTTCCTTGCCAGCCTCGTGACTCATGAGGCTTGTCTCCTGGTCCATCACGAGCTGTGCCGGAGGTCCAAACACGGAAAACCAAGACTCGAACATCCGGTTGAGGAGCTCCTGGTGCTCCTTGGACTTCACCGCAGTAGCCGTCTTATAGCGGGTGGCCTCGTCCACACATAGCAGGATCCAAGCTTCTTTGTGAAGGAAGAGGTCCAACTGCACTCGGTGGTTGAAGGAGCTTGCTGCTGAGCCTATCTTGACTTGCGGCCGGTTGGGCAGTCGAACGTACTTCCTGCATATCGAGCAGCTCATGACCGCTTCTTCGGCCAAAGGCAGCACTTCAGAAGACAGGCCGGCTCTGAGCAGCATGTTCTTGAAGTCCGTGATGGGGCAGTGGTAGAACCTCTCATGAAGCCCTAAGAGAAGTCTCTTCGCCGTCATTGGATCCTTGAGCACGATGTCGCTCTGGAGCCTCTTGTACACCTTGCGGAAGTCGAACAGGGGCTTCAGAGTCTTTGGTTCGTCCTCTGCTTCCGGTCGAACTGCTTCAAATTCCTCCTCTGCCGGCGCCGCTTCCTCAGACGCTTGTGGCTGCTCGGCTGGAGGCTGAGGTATCGGAGGATTCGAAGAAGAAGAAGCCGAATTCCTCCCATCATTTTCTCTTTCGACCGGAACACGAGACACCGCCGGACGTGAAGCCGCAGACGCGGCGCCTGGCACAGCACGATCAACGTCCATGTCGTCCTGGCGATAGCCAAACAAATGCACATGCCAATCGGCCTCCTCCACGGGCGCGTGCAGCTGGCTGTGAGAGAGCACCCGCATATCCTCAAGGGCATGGACCTGCCACGATCGAATCTCACCCTCAATGAGGAGGCGCATAGGTGCACAAGCCGAGCTCAAGTATGGATCGGGTATCTTGCGCTTCCACGGACGAAGTGACACCAACACGCCCAAAACCTGAAGGATGTCATGGAACACCTCCTGGTAGACGCGAAGCAGGACAGGATCCGTCAACCAGTGATCGTAGTCGCGAGAGGTGTTGGCCTGGAAGAGCTCCAGACACGACTCGATCAGCTGCATCATGGCGGCCTTGAGGTACAGCTGAGGTTCGACAGGTATGTGAAGAGACGCATGAACCTCCAGCTGAACGCGGGAGTAGTCGCCATTGCGAGCCAGAAACTTGAAAGGACCTGTGATATCCTCCAAGTCGGATCGTCCCAATCGAGCAGGTGGTGGTACATCGTTGGGGGTAGCTGTTGGTGCTGGTGGTGGTACATCACGTGGAGTAGCTGTCGGTGCTGGTGAAATTGACATCGCTCACAGGTGTAGTAGATGCCGTGGGCCCAAAATAGGCCTGGTGGCCACGCTGAGCAGGTGGTGGCCTTGTCGTTGCGGAGGATGGCCCACAGGTCTTGGCCAATCAGCTGCGCCATCCGTTTGGGATACACAGCCGCCAAGGCTGTTCTGCAGCAACCACGGAAGCGTCCTTGTAGTTCCCCGTGTGCTTGTCCTTTGTGGCCGTTGCATCGCTTCATAACTCTCCGCCATCTGCGATTGCTGAGAAACGCTGTGGCTTTCCGTATGGGTCGCTGCTGTTCGTCGATGGCACCCAACATGCATTGATCCAGTCGCTGCGTCCGCACACCTGGATGCCTCAACAGCTTGGCCACTGGGCTGTCGCGAAGCATCGCTGAAGAGTGAGGCTGCTCAAGAGTGAAGCCTCTGTCGCGGTTGTGCTGGCTGAGCGACATGTCATGTATGAACTCCAGGGCCGGGAGCTCGGCCTTGCGATCCTCTTCACGCTTCCACTTGTCTTTGCCAGATGCCGCTATAGACCACGGAGCACAGCTCGGAGAAACGAACAAGTGGTCTGGCACAAAAGCGGCATGAACCTGTTGCAGCAAGGCTTGGTGAGGAGGATGCCCGAGATCCCACGAGTACCTGATGTCGATAGGGAAGCCCACCGCGAACTGCGCCAACAGCAGGCACAACGAAAGCCGTCCCGAACCCGAGCACCATTCCCAAAACTGAAAACGAAGATTGCGAGACGTCGCCCTCTTCATCCATGCCGTCACATTCTTCGGAGTTATGGGGCGGCGACCGCTCTTTGTATAGAACTCCTCTGGGATGGCCCGGTAGTAGTGCTGCGCTTCCCTCGGACCAGTGCTCTGGGAAAACATCTCCACTGTAGCTTGGAAAGGTCTCGGTGTCCAGTCCACTGTCCTCCAGCTCCGTAGCCATTGATGCCGGCGAGGTAGAGGGCAGTGTCGTCGGACGAAGACGGAACTTTGTCGTGCCGACCCAAAAGCTTCCCAAGTCATAGTTGGGAGATGTCGCCTTGGTCCAGTTGTCCTCAAGGAAGCGACTGGCACACTTCTTCGGGACGTAGGTGATCTCCGTGACTCTCTCCCCGGTCAAGCATAAGGATTCCACGGGGCAATCCAAGGCGCAATTTGGGGTGAAAAGCACCCTGCGTGGCACTTTGTGGCGCCGTGTCACATAGTCGCCGTCTCGAGTCCAGTAGTCCTGCGGCATCTGTCGTTGCCTCCTTGCAGGACCATCCAGAAACGGCTTTGCTGTGGACCCCGATGCTGACGGCAATGTCTTTTGAGACATGGACCCCGATGCTGACGGCAAATTTTCATCATAGGACTCTGTGGTAGTGGAGAAAGTCTTCGGACTAGAGTCTGCCTCTTCTGTGTTGGCTGTTGGTTCCTCTGTGGTAGTGGAGAAAGTCTTTGGACTAGAGTCTGCCTCTTCGGTGTTGTGCCCCGCATATCCTTCGTGACTCCGCTCATGTTCCCGACGTTGCTGTAGGAAGCAGCGTCGAACATCACTCCATCGCTCTTGTATGGCCTCTGACCACATAAAGAGCTGCTTTCCGACGTGCTTCTTGGCCTCGAAGTTGACTGGTTTCGTCTCGTCCACAGGAAGCAAGTAGTGGCCCGAGTCGGTCAACAAAATCCTCAGGTAGTGCCAGTCCTCACGTCCTTTGCGTACCACAAGGACGCCGTCGCCATTCTCGAAGTGGTTTGTCAGGATGGCCGCGCTTTGCTTGCGAAGTGCCGGGTTGCTAAGAAGTGCGGGGCACAGCGAGCCCTCTCCACCAATCACCTCAGCGGAGAAGCTTCCATCCAGCTCGGACATCTTGAGGGGAATCGAGATCTCCCCAAGCGTCTGCTCCGGCATCCCACTGATGCCACTGACGCTGTTGGTGCGATCGTGACGCCAGCGCACCTCTCGACCCTTACTGTCTGGAAGACAGTATTCCAGAATGCCCCGGAGAGTCTCACTGCCGACCAGACCGCTGGCCGCTCCGGGATCCACCAACAAGCCTCTGCGCTTCGTGCCGAGAACCGTGTGGTAGCTCAGGGAGTCGCTGTAGACGCCGGTGGCAAAGGTGAAGTCGAGGGTCTTCGCCGTCGAAGAGGAAGCAGCTTGTTCAACATCATCACCACTTGCTTCCGCGGGCTTCGGTCGGGCTCCGAGTGGCAGAACTGGCGAGTCGTCGTGGTCCAACTTGAAGTGTACCACTTTCGTCCTCGGCGGGGTAGTCGACATCCTGCTCTCGCCGAAACTGCCAACGAGGGTCTTCTCCGTAGTGTACCCGTAGTAGCCCTTGCCGTAGCCCTTGCCTTTTCCTTTCGAAGGCCACTTGCCCTTGCCTTTTCCTTTGCTCTTTCCAAAACCTTTGCGGTTCTTTCCCTTCCAGCTCCCTGAGTTGCCGAACCCCTTTTGCTTGCCCTTGCCCTTGTTGGAGCCCATGCTGGATCCCACGGGACAAGAGCTCGCATTGCCATCTGGACCCGCATATAGAGCATCCGGGTCCCTTGTTGCCTTTGCCTTTGACCGGATAGTTCTCGGAAGGGTCGGAGGTCAAATTGGCATCATTGCCGGAGGCTTCTGGCTCCTCATTGGCTTGCTCTTCCCATTGCTCGGCCCATGGCTCTCCATACCAGGCTTCATACTCCTCATCGTAGATGTCGCCGTGATCGTAGTAGGCGCTTTCGTACTCAAACTCCTGCCAGTAGTCAGCATGACTTGGGCTCGGTTCATCAACCCATGACCAACCATCATCGGTCCATGAGTTGGCGTCCCAGCCGTCGTCGGCCTGGCTGCTGTTCCCAGTGTCCTCGTAGAACAGCTCCCCGGAATCATCCTTCTTGGTGATGAGTCTGAGCGCCAACACCCGTGCCTCCTGGTAGCGGCGAAGATCTCCTTGGAGCTGCAACTTTATATCTTCTACGAACTTGTAGGGCAGCCCGCTTCCACGGAAGAACAAGTAAAACTTCGCCACGTCATTCAAGTCCAAGCCCGCACGGGTGACCGCCTCTTCGAGTCTGATGTCGAACTCTATGGCATACTCCTGGAACGACATCTTCCCTCTCTTGAACTCGAAGAAGGCTTCTATGCTCTGGCTGACCATCTCTTGGTCGCTGACCCCGAACGCGTCCTTCAGACTGTTGCACAAAGCTTGGATGCCACTGGGGATCGCATGCTGGATGATCACGTTAGGGTTGTTCGGGTCCCTAACCTCTTCCACGCTCAAGCGAACCAGGGCATCGCTGCCCACATCCATGCCGCCGTCGGGACGTGCCAGTCTGAGCTGCATACCCAGACGCTGCGCTTTCCCTTGCAGCCTTCCTGCCACAAGTGGTCCGACCATAGTGTCATCTCCTTCGTATATGCGGTGCCACAACTTCAGCCGCTCGAAGTAGAGGCGAAGGCTGTAGTCAGGAAGGTTCGGAGCCCAGCCGGGAGGAACGTCACGACGAAACTCATGAAGTGGGATACCTCCTCCAGGGCCAGAGCTGCTGCCTGCTTGGGAGGCCATTGCTGCCTCCGGTGCTTCCAGGCTCTCGTTCAGGTAGTGCTCGCGAAGCTAGAAGCTGCAGCCGAGAATCGGGTAAAGGAGAAGCTCGTCGTGGCCCAAGTAGAGGAGGGGGTCGCTGTTGCCCAGAAAGGAGAAGGAGGATGCCTCGCAGCCACTGAAGAAAATCCCGTTCACACCCTTGGGATGGAGAATTGCCCGGCCAGTGCCGGAGGAGAAATTGCAGCCTTGCAGGCGGCTGCTCGCCTTGTCAGAGTCGTCCCAGGAATGGGACTGCTCTTTCGAATTTGCGAGGCTGTTGGGCACAACGATGCCCGTCTTGATCAGGAACAGCCAAAACCAAACGAAGATTTCGAGAAGAATCGTGCTGTCGGTGGTGTCGAGGTCAGCAGCCTCCCTAGGAGGCGCAGGGACCCAAAGGAGCCCCTCAGCAGCCTATGGCGCGGGCACAAGCTCCGCTACCAAACTTGGAAATCAGCTGTTTACTCGACCCGTATGGTCATGGAACATGGGAGTACTGTACACTGCACATCCTAAAGTTCACTCCTTCTGAGAAACGAACGTGTATTTTGACAACAATTCCCCCCGACATCGTCTGAAGGTACCCACGACTCCAGGTCTTGGGTTTGCCGGAAACTGGTTCAGTACTGACTCTGATTGGTGCCCTTGAGGACATTGAGGCAATAACTTCCCTGTCAGTTCGATTCTCAAGTTTTGGAAGAAGCACAGTAAGCTGTAATAAACTGATTTGGGAAACCGACGTTGAGGTTACCCCGGAAAGACTTCAGCATGCAACGTCTAGAGTATTGGTGTCTTTCTTTCTTGGTAGGCATGGGTCCCGAGGACGCGCCTCTCGCACTAAATTCAGAGGTGAAACACAAACAGAAGGGGAGCAGGTGTATGGCTCAACCGCGTGGGGAACGAATACAACCCGGCTCAACCCTGAACCCACAGCTCTCTAGCCAGGTCGGGATCGGTTTCAGGCACTCTGCCGCAAGAGGAGAAAGCCGAATACGGACAGGGCTGGCAAGAGACTGCTGCAAGGTAAGTCCAATGGCATCGCATGTAGCTTCCATCCATGCGGTGTGACGACGCGCTGCGGCAAGCGGGACACTCGCACCAAATGGGTAAACGAAAGCTCGTAGAGGGGGCTCCTCAATGTCGACGATATGCTCTGCTCCAGTGAGCACGAAGGACAAGCGGCCAAAGTCAAAATCCGCGAAGGGAGGGCAGGCGACAGCCGGCATGGGAGGGCTTTTTGGGGTACGGAAGTCTTCACACCACAACTCGGGGTCGAGAAGAAGACAAACGTCCCCGGCGATTGCGGCAGCAATATCTGTATCCTGCTCTGGGCCGGGGTGTTGAGCCCATTCCTCAAGAGTATCCTTGAGCAGAGGGAGGGGCTCGATGTAGCCCTGAACTACATCCCACACGTCCTCCGTAAGGGGCGCAGACAATTCCTGGAGCTCCCGGAGTAGACCTGGGTGGACTTTCGCAGGGTCGAGAGCAGCAGAGAAGCCGTCATGTACACCTGGGAGGGCAACAGGAGGTGCTTCGGGATGAAGGGTGGACGTACCCCCAGGAAGGGGGTGAAAAGCACCCCAGCCACGTCTGCAGGATTCGGAAGTGCTGAGGTGCCGCTTTAAGCGCCCAATGCTAGCGTAGAGTCGCCCGCAGGCCTTGCAGACGGGTCTATCACATCCTGCAGCGAGTAAGGTAGAGGACGCCCGGTAGGCGTGCAGCCGGGAGGCGTGGCAGGCCCACGCTGTTCGGCTGGGGAAGGCAATTTTACACTGCAGGCAAGCCTCCTGGTAGCGAATCCCCTTAGGTTCTGGGGGAGGGCTGCCTTTCACCAGCTGCTCCAAAGCGCGCCTAACGGCCTGGAGAGCCGCATAACACGCGGTACGCATGAGCTCAAGGCCCTGTGCACGCTTGATGAGGGCTTTGAAGATGTGGGGACGATGACGCATAACCTGCTCCCACTCAGGCCATTGATCATCGGGACTTCCCAGACTGGAGGTGTCACAAACCCAGCGATAGACCCAGAAAAGGGCGCTGCGCAGATGTGCAACGTAGGCGGCATCCCGGCGAACCAAAGCCCAGAGTTGCTCGGGTGCCGCGTTGAGCAGCTGAAGAAGGTATCTCGCTCGCTCGGTGAGTAGGAGAACCTCGGGAGGAGGCTGTCCGACAAGGGCACAAATGGTAGCGTGAGTGAGGTGCTGGTCGTCCCCGTGGGGGATAGACAGGGTTTGCCGGTACAGGGATACAACCGTGCGAAAGAAGAACGAATGTTCACCCTTACTGAGGGGCGGCCATGCCCCCGCAGCAAAAAGGAGCTTGGTCATGACATGAGTCGACAAGAGAAGGCCACGTTTTTTCACAGAGATCCGCCGGGTGCGGAAAACCTTGGTGCGCCCTTGCTGAAAGGCAGACCACGCGTGCGATGCGCGGTGGCGAAGCTCAGTCATGATGGATATGCTGGAAGAAATTTTGACCCCGAGATGTCGATAAGTGGTGACAAGAGGCAACGAGGCACAGCCCACTTCCTCCCTGAAAATAGGCAAGACTGACTTACCCGAGAACAGGGTCTTACGTGCTTGTCTGGAGCCGGCCCCGCGGGGCACTACGATGGCTGCGGTCTTGGCGGGGCCGAAGCTGAGTTCGTACCCGTGGGCATAAAAGGCATCGGCAAGTAGGCCGCATTCAGTTGCAGTGGCGGCAGCGGCACATCTAGCATTATGTACGGCGATACATTTAGCGAGATCGTCCGCCCAGATGACATCACAGAGAGTTGTGGAAGTGGTGCAGGCTGTGGGATCGGTGCACGGCTCTGAGAAATCAAAGCGCCCATCCCACCAAATCACAGGAGCATGCTCGACATCAGAAGGGGAGGACGCAGGAGACGCTGCTCCGTTACGAGCTTCATCTCGCCACCGCAGCATGCGAGGGACCGTGACCCCGTAGAACAAATCAGCGAAGCTGGATCCGGGCCTGGAGCCTTGTCTGGTTACAACCGGTTGGGAGTCGCCTGCAAGGCACATCCAGGTGTTGCTGTTCAGCTCAGCGGTAAGCGACTCAATCCAGGGCGAGGCATGCGCCTGCCTCATGGCGCTCGGCTTGGAGAGCTCCTCTGCAAGATGCTCCCTGGTCGGCATGTAAGCATTATCATCCTCACCATCAGCAACATGTTTCCGCGCGGTCAGGGCACGGACAGCAGTGTAGTAAGCAGAGGCGACGTCTGCGAAGAGGACAACACTCGTGATGCTATTGGCAGCGCAGTATCTTCCAAAGGCTCGTGTGATGTGCGAGCCGAGGACGACTGAAGTGTTCTTAAGGCCGCCTAGCTGCGCCGGAGACGCATTGGAGTGGAAGACTTCGTACAGTCCTGGCCGGAAAGCCTTGTGCAAAAGCTTAGCCAGGGTGGGTAAGAGCATGATCGCCCTGTAACTGGCACACTGCGCGGTGTCACCGCGGCCTTTGTAAAGCTTCGTCAAGGTTCCTCCCTTGAAACCTATCGGTTCAACACAGGTGAGGCCCATTTTAAGCATGAGTGGCATAAGAAGCTGGGCTAAGCATTGCGGGGAGGCATGCCCTACTTCAGCAGGTAGGCCATCGGGGCCTGCAGCCTTGCCTTTGTGGGATGAGGCAATGACTTGCAAAAGGATATCAGGAGAGGGCAGCTCGGTAAGCATGTCAGGAGAGAGGACAAAGCCTGGGCCGCTTGCCAGACCCGGAAGCATCTCAGGGGCGATGTCATATCCGTCCTCCTGTTCACGGAAGTGTTCCCGCCACCTTTCAGTAGCCTCAGCTGGGGTGACACAGCGGCTGCCGTCGGCCTTGTGAAGTTCTGGGAGGACCTCGGGCCGAAAAGGCTTTTTGCGACGCAACCCCATCAATCGTTGCACAGCTTTATCAGCGTTGGGGCGGCTGTTCTGCACATCATCAGCAAGCTCGCTGAAGTGCACAGCACGGTCATGCTTGCAAGCGGCTTTCAGACGTTGCGACGTCAGACATAGAAAGTGGCTCTGCACGGCACCAGCATACTGAGCCTCCTTAGTCCACTGCGAGTTCAGCATGTGGAGTAGGGGCCCGCTGTCAGCCTGTTTCCAAACTTGGAAAACTGCTGCAACGAGATGGAAAGACAGGGCTCGCTTGACACTCACACATTGTTTCCGAAGTCGCATAACCTCCCCGTGCAGCTGCCAAGTCGAGTCACTCAAGTAAGCTCTGTAGCAGCGACCTTTCTGAGGCGGGAAGGCAGCCGCAAGGGAGTCCTGGAGGTAATGGACTAAAGTGGAGGCGTGGGCATGTGGAGATGCAGCCCAAGGGATGCGCGGAGCTGCCTTGAGAATACCTTCAACCTTTGCCTGCCCGCTGGGGGTAAGCATAGCTCGACCGTCGAACCTGCGGTGGAGGGCCGGCATGGACCTGCCGGCTAATCGGAGGGTAAGATCAAATTGCGCACAAACGGCAATATGATCAATGTACGCCTGGCCAGCATGCAGTGACTCATCCGTCCAAGTGCTGATGTGGCCAGCCCTCCTTTCAGCCGGGCAAGCAATAAAGTCAATTCTGGAAAAGGCTCCATTACGCTTCTGAACGTATGTGCCTGATGGGCCTTGCTGACAGGAGGGAAAGGTACTCGGCACCCATAATCTTTGGGAATGTAGGAAATCTACGAAAAGTGCTCCGGCGTCATCTTGCTGGTCAGGGTCTTGACCTCCGATGGCGGCGGAGGTGACAGACCCTACAGATGCGTTCATGTCTCCCCCGACCAGAACAAGGGCTGAGTGCGCGTGCACCTGGCACAATCTATTGGTTTCAGCCCACCATGCTGAAATTGTGCCAATCTCAACGGCTCTGTGGGGCGCGTGGGCAGACACAAAGAGGAGATTGAAACCATCCTGCCGAAAGAGCAAAAGGAGTCTGCGTGGGTCTCGATGCAGAACCATACATGCTGACGCGGAAAGACGCAGGCCCTTCTTGCCGTCTGGGTCATTAAAGAGCGCGTGGTTCTCTAACAACCAAACCTCAACTCCTAGTGTTCCATTAGTGCTGCCTGAGGAGTACCTAAGATAACCTTGCGTACGCAGCAAGCCTTCCTGAGTGCGGGCTTCTTGAATGAGGGCAACATGAACCCCGGCGGCCCGAAAGCATTCTGCAAGCAGAGCAGGGCGAGCTGGTTGGAATGCAAGGCCATCTGCAGCGGTCCCCTCAAGAGAGACGCTGTTGAGGGAGAGCACGTTGAACGAGCAGACCCTGAGGGAGAGTTTGCCCCAAACGTGGGTTATTGGAGTATCGCTCGACAGGGCCCCCCCGGGGAGAAAAGGAGCAACGAGCTGCAAGGGTGCACGCCCAATCGAGTCGGCACATGGCGGTACTTCATCAACATGCGGCCCCGGGTACATCTCATTGGCAGAGAGATTCGCAACAGCAATTGCGGCCCAGCCAAGGGAATGGCCGTCCTGGAACCACCATGGTTTGGCTCCGTCTGGGGACCAACGCAAGCATCCACACGGACTTGCCTGCGCCGCACTTCGCGCAAGACAATCGGCGAGTTCGTTGCCTAAACATCCAGAATGCCCTGCGACATAGGCGGCTTGCGGGGGATGCGGGGAAAATTCGAGCGCAAACAGCCCAAGGCTGCGCAGGACCGCCGCGACTCCACATGGGGCGCCGACAAAACATCCTTGGAAAACTCCGATGGCAGACTGACAGTCCGAACGGAGAGTGACGGGGATCTGCGCAAACTTGGTAATGCTAAGCCACGCAGCCACAAGCAGCGCGTAGCATTCTGCAATATAGGCGGACGGGCGTTCGTCCTGCAAGGTCCACGGTGGGACTGCGCCAGACACGGCAGCACAACTGCCTGAGACAGGGCAGATGAACAGACATGCCCACGTGCATGAGCCTGCTTTGGCCGAAGTGGCAGCGGTATAAGAGCCGTCAGTGAAGCAATGCATGTGGCTCGAGAGAAAATCCTCAGGACGAAAGTCAAGCAGTCGAACTCGGCACAGATCGTGTTGTTGTGTGGCAAACACAAGGTCCCAGCCAGAGCCAAGCGAGCAGTCCGGCATGAGGAATTGCAAGAGCTGCTCGACAGTGCAAGGAACCTGATATTGCCCAATGTGTAGGTGTGCATGTGGGCTCTGGCCGTGCAGTCCTGGCAGGGCATCAGGGGACCATGGTGAGCACACAAGAGCACGGTCAAGTCCTTGCCAAAAAGGACAGAATGAACTGGAGCCCTGTGAGGGCAGAGAAATCCGTGCTGCTAGCTCAAGGTGCAGTCGCGAGAGCGGAGGACCGCCGTCTCCAAAATGCTCGAAACACGTTTCGAGTAGAGTGCTCGCCAACATAAAAGCCTGGCAATCGGGGTCGCGAGCAGATTCCCACAGAAGAGTGCCAAGGTCGCAGCATATGTCATCGTCGGTGCGAGCTTCGACATGAGCATTGCAGGCAAAGTCGGCAGTGGGGTAGGTTCCAGAGGAGGAAGCCGACTGGTCGTCGAAGTCCTCAATGGCCTGCTGAGGCGACCGGGAAGCAAGTAGAGTCCGACATGGGGTGGGAAGAGGTCGGACAGTGTTGCTGACGCTCCCTTCGGCTGAATGAGGATGCTCGGGCTGACAAACGGCAGAACCGGGGTCGAGGGACATCCGAGCAGCGAGCCGACTGGGCACACCAGGGAGGTTAGCAGTGCGGTGACAGGCTGGGCTTTCAGGTGTACGGCGATAAACCTGGACAGCTTCCCCTGGCTGGGTGGATAAGCCGACAACAGAAAGCAGAACTGTAAGATATCTCCCCGGCGCACTGCAAACGGCAAAGCGACGGCGATTTTGTCTGGGTAAACCAGACGCCCTGCGATGGGCCGGAAGGGAGAGGAGCACAGGGGTGAGATCCTGGGTGCCCGCGGGGAGGGCATGTTCTATAGTAATCCCTGGACCACACTTGAGCTGCACTTTCCCGCCATGGGCGATGTCAGATGCTTTGTCAGAGGCATCTGGAATCGCAGCAATAGGGGTTTGGCGAACAGACCTCCTAGCGTCGCCTTGTGTGTCACGCGCCGCAGGCGTGCTCGGAGGAAGGTCGCGGGGCGCGAGGTGCTGGAAGACGGGGGTGCGCCAAGCCCGTTCTCAGAGGAGGGGCCCGGGGTGGCACCTGGATCTCCACCATCGCCTGGCTCGTTCCTGCTCACCTCAGGTGTGCTCGACAGAGATGTTGACGCCAGGGCGACAAAATTGACACTGAGAACCTCACCTGCAAAGACTGTCAAGTATCCTGTGGAGCTGTCGTCACGGGTATGTCCGCCGGTTATTGCAACACAGTAACCTGGGGGACAGAAGCCCTGCAGTCGCTGGCGCAGGCCAGGGGCATCATACCTGCCATCAGGGGCATGTGCGGCAACCAGGCCAAGGAGAATAGGCCGCAAATCAAGTAAGCATACGACCCAGCCACTTGTGCCATCAGCTGGGAGCGGAGGAGACTCGACGGCGATCAAGACTGATCGAACAAGTAACCCCTGCGCAGCGAAGGTGAGGATATTGGGCCAGACAGGTTGCAGGCGAATGGAATGACTGGAAATGTCGAGGGCTGCTGCCACATCTTGCCTGAAGGCGTGAGCGCGGCGGCGATTGACTTCGAACAAAAGTGGTTCGTGGTCTGTCACGAGCCAAATTCTATCCCCGTATTCACCTGGAATGTCTGGCTCGCTTGCCCAGCCGACAGATTGCTGAAGCATGTCACCAAGGCTGGCATGGACTGCAATGGAGTGATCGGGGCGCAAGAAGACAACAAGATCACCGGGCAGGAGGTCAACAGGGACGTCTCCCCCCAACGGCCAGGGCATGTCACGGATATAAACTAGAAGCTCTGCAGTGGCTGGTACATCCGCAACGGTGACAAATGAACCGAGGGTCATGGTCGATGGCACATTGAGCGCAAAGTATCTGTCGTCGAAACCGCGGAGGTCGAAGAAGACGAGAACTTCCGACATGGGCCACTCCGGTGCCGCAAGCAATGTTCCGTACTCCATGTCCGGCTGAGGTGTAACAGCCAGAAGCCTGGGGAACCGCTCTCGATGAGAGGGTAAACGCGCTGCCTGGACAGCTGCAATGGCTTCAGAGGATGGAACTGGAGCATTTAATTGCACCTCGATGAACTCTGGGAGATAACATGGTGCGAAAACCAAGAAGACAGCTTGAAAGCTATCGGTACTGGCGGCGCTTGGTACTGTGGATACAGGGACAGGAAACTCTCCGGGTCCAGATCCCATCGGGCGCTGCAGGGCATTGCCTTCTTGTGCAACGGCGGATCAGCAGCAAAGTGCACACGCCGTTGGTCCGGCGGACCAGGGGCTGCAGCAGAAAGACCACGCGATGCTTGTGGTGCATGTGGATGCTGTGCGACAAAATCAACGACGACGACAGCACCGGCATGCACAGACAAGTGCACTCCATGGCGGGTGTCGGGGGTGACCTGAACAGAGTATCCGACGGGCACCCGGCTTTGAAAGTGCGCAAGCAGGTCGGGCAGGAACAGCAGGCCAGAGTGCGCGGGCCAGAGCGACAGGCCTTCTTGAATGGGACGGCAGTCAAGGATGATGTCCTGTTGGTGCCTTAGGGCACGGTCAGGCGTGTGGATCGACACAGCAACTGCCGTTCGGCAGGGAACGCCAGCGATGTCAATACCAACGACCCTAGGGGCAGAGGGCGTGACAGTGATGTGCGCCTCTGGTGCCCCAACAGTAGCGGCCAGACGGCGCCGATAATGCGTGGGCTTGCCCGGGTCAGCTCGGAAGAGCTGATGGTGGGTGGCGCGGACAAGGCAATATGCATCGGCAGGTTCTGGGTACACATACAATGGGCGCGAGCTCCATTGTCCAGCATCTAAAAGGAGCTGGCCGAGGTCCTGCAATGGAGGGGGTTCAATGTGCGGGGCGAAAATTGACACAGTGGATCCCGCAACGAGGTGGGTCAAGACTCCCTCGGGAATAGGCTCTTGGCTGAGCCCGGCATAGAAGGTGGCATCAAGGCCGTGAGCACCGGAGAGGTCTGCCAACGTGTCATTATCCGCATATGCCGGCGCATACGCGGCAAAGAGCCTTCCATTAAGCCTGGTAGCATCAATGCACACAACCCGTGCGTTAGCGCACCAATGCGGCGCGGCAAGGAACAGCCCCGTACCTTCGATAGGTTGTGGAGTGGCTGGTGTGAGGTGGGGGAACCTGAAGTCCTGCTCTGGTCGCCTGGCGGCGCGCAGCCTAGGGATAAGCTCAGGCAAGGTAGTCGGGAATTGCACCTCAACGACAACAAACTCTGGTGCATATCCTGGCGTGCAAATGATGAAAGCAGCCCGACGCAACCTAACTTCCTGATCTTCATCAGAAGAAGAGTCTGGGACCTCTGCAAGGCTCGCGTGGAGTCTTGTTGTCGGGGCAAAGTAGCGCCAGTCACCACCTAAATGCTCGGTTGCGTGACGGAGAGCACGAAGGCGGGCAGCATCTGCGCTGCCGTGCGGGACAGGCTCTGACAGGAGCTTGGCGTGTAAGGCAGCTTGGAAGGCAGCAAGGAGGGTGTGTGGCTCAAGGATTAGCTCGGGAGCACCTGCATACCTGCACGAGGCTCTTCGGTAGAAGGCAGCGCCTTCGTCAACGAGGAGACGCCTTGTCCCACTTCCAATGGCTGATGCCAGAAAGTGAAGGCGGGCATCTTGCTGCCAGTCCACATGGGGGTCGGCACCTGGAAGGCATGCCGCATCAACCAATAACCCTGGAAGGTGGACTGGTGAAACCAAAGGCTCTAACTCCCTGAATCCTATGACACCACCTTGGTAAGAATGGTCAGAGGAGTGGCCGGGGTCCGTTCCAGGTGAACCCCGCCGACGACTCCTTGAACGCGTGGTGGCACTGGAGCGCCGATCTGTGTCCTCGCTATCAGAGTCGTCAGGAGCACCGTCACTGTCTCCGTCATCCCCATCGGAAGTGGGGTCGAACGGGGTCTCAGACGAGTCAGAGGTGCATACATACTGAAAGCTGAAGACTAAAGTTGCCGAGTTATCAATCTCAATTCGGTCCCTTCTCCGCCTACCCCCCCTAACCTTGAGAGCCCACCCCGGTGGTGGCTGAAAGCGCACAAGGCGAGGTAGGTGAACAAGGAGGATGTAGGGAACATCAAGGACGACAAATTGTACACCTTCGGCAACCTGACGGAGGTCAAGGAAAACTACGAACTGCGGGTCGTAGTGATGCTCAGCGATGGCTAGGGTACCTCTGACCCTGATACCGCGATACATAACCCGTTCCAGGCAGCCATCCTGAGGTGCATGGAAATCGACAGAAGCTCGATCGACTCCAACGAAACTTGCAGCAGCTACATCTCCAGGGTCATGTGCGGCCTGCGGTCGGTAGAGGTACCTCCCACTGGAGTGGAGGAGCAGCAAAGAGCTGCGCACGGCAGGGCCGGTGGGAAACCTCGGCGGAGTCTGCCATATACCTGGGAATTGCAGTCTGTACTGCAGATCATTGGCGTGGCACGGCAACCTGTCAGTGCGCATAAACGTTACCAGGCAACCACTAGCGAGGTTAACCTCCTCGTCTTCTTGGAGTGGCTCGGCCTCTGTGCCGATGTACACTTTGCAGTGCTGAGGCGAGTGCACACTTGCTTCTCGGCAAAGCTCAGCTAGACATGTCGGCCTGGTGACATAACTGACAAGCACGGGCCCCTCAGTGCTATCGCCAAGATCCCTCAAATCGAGACACACGATGGAGAGGGATGAGTACGTAGCCCAATCTGGTGCCAATACAAACGCTGCGCATGATGGAAAGGGCTGAGGTCTCACTGCTATTGCTCGATCGCAGCCTTCCAGGCGCAAGTGTTGCACTTGTCTTTCGACGGCATCGAGGGCATCCTCGACATCACACGGCATGGGAAGCTGGATCTGCACAGTCTCAGGCACATAGTAAGGCGCTCCGATCCAGGCAGAGAAAGGTGAAGCCTGAAGGGCCACAGGCCGTGTGTGCTGGACAGTATTGTCGACAGTATATCGCACAGGTATTGGCGGAGGGGGCCCTCTGGGTGCCAATTGCTCCCCTCCAAAGAAGTCACGTGCAAGGCCAAAACGCCCAGCACCGGCAGCGTCTGGGAGTCTATGAATTGCCTGAGGAGCAGCATGATCGACAGGTTGGGCGACAAAGTCAGAAGGCTGATCGTGGTCAGCATTGCTATGAACCTCAGGCGGAGCTGCATCGGGGGTATTGGCTGCAAATGCACCTGGCGGGGTAGCAGCAAGGATCCACACGGCGCACACCCCCTGCATGGAACCGCACCCCAATCGATAGGGCAGTGTGCACCCAATAGAACATAATGCACAGGCAGCTTTAAGAAACCGCCAGGCTGGGCTGCCCGAGCTGCCTGGAGGCCTACCTGATCGGCACCTATCCTTCCTGCACGGTTGGAAGGACCATTCAAGGACTGGTTGTCCAGTGGTGGCATGGGCAAGGGGCCCCCACAAGCAGAGATTGGGCATAGCCAGCCGGGCACGTGACTTGCAGCAGGCAAACGGTTGCCGAGCACGTCGTGGGCTGAAGGGCAACCTGACAAGGACAACGAATGAACAGGCCAGGAAGCTTCTTGCAAGGGGAATCAACCAACCTGCCAAAGCCCGTAGGAAAACCTGAAGGAGGATCATGAGTGTGCAGGCTAGGGTGTCCTCCTGAGGGCAGTTCGGCTGGGAGGGCGCCCCGGGGGCCAGAAATGCAAAGAAACCAACCTCCGAAACGAGAATCGCGTACCCACAGGCTCGCACGGCAGGTGAGGCGCCATGAGGCATGAAGGCAGCGGTGGTCCGAATGACAGAGAAGGATGAACCAAAACACGGCGTAACAAGATGGTAGGCACTCACCCCAGAGCCACCGATGTGAGTTTTAGGCGCGCTACCCAGCTGAAACCCTACGCCTGTGTGACGAGGAAGAAGCTCGCATCCTTCGTCGGAGGCGGCACTCACAAAATTAGGCAGAAGGCCTAAGGGATCGGGACTAAACCTTACGGGAGAAATGGGGAAAGGCAGCCCGTGAAGAGGTATGCGAAGTGTCCAGGCATGGCAGGCACTCACCCCAGCGCCACCGATGTGAGTTTTAGGCGCTCTGCTTATCCTGGGCACAACTGCATGTCCAACAATGGGGAAGGATGCTCGGAAGCTGCGAACGGCCAGGAGAGCCGAGGAGAGAAAACAAGGGTGTCGCGGCAAACAAAATCCAGGCGGGGGCTCACCCAGAACCCTTCCAAAGCCCAAGGAAGAGTTAAGGTGGCCGAGGATGACGAAGGCGACATAAGAGGGCAGAGACAGAGCTCCCGGGAACCGATCGACCAAAACTGTGCCTGAAGCAAGACTGTACAGCTCCGCTGTACACGCGACTGCAGATAAGATAGCACAAGGCTCAGGAGGGCAAACAGATGCTGTACAAAGAACAAAACTGTACACCATGTTGCCAGGAAGACTCCTCTCAGGGACCAGCCGGCAGCGAAACGGATCAGAGACATCACAAGAACAGCCTTGCCCACAGGGAACTACACAGCCTAAGCTCAAAGAGCCTCGGCGTGATCGTCCCTCTAGGCGGCAAGTCCTCGCATGTCCAGGACCCTTCGCTGCAAGGCCGGTGCAGTCGGTTACAGTCACTCCAATTCGGAGAGTCGTGGTGCTCCGGGAGGCTCCTCCAGATCCGGGTCGTCGTCGTCCAAAGTCATGGCAGCAAGGCCGCCCCAGCCCACAGGAACGGTCTCTGCACTGCCTGCGACATGAGCTCCTGGAATGGCCCCTACCCCGAAGGGGCGGAGGGCCAGCTTCGCGTTTTCTCGTTCGCGGCGTTCTTGCAGTTTCATCTCCAAAGTCACATGTCCAGTGGCGGGTTGGGCTTTGCCCTTGGTAGCCTCCTTGATCCCAGCACGTGGTGCGGCCTCGCCTGCGGGAGAGCGAGACAGGCTCATATCCCTCTGACCTGGATGCTTGGGTATCTGCCTGGTACCCGGGCTGAGTCCAGGCGGTCCGCCATGCGGGGCAGAGGCAGGACCAGAGACAGGGGTCGGGGATGCCCCAGCCGCTCCATGTAGGTAAGGATCGGTCAAGGCTGGAGCTCGTCCTGTCGAAGCGGGCGAGGCAGCTGAATAATGCTGCGGCCTCGTCGGGGTACATGGAGGGGCAGCTTGGGAGTTGAGCGCACGCTTGTAGACTCCATCCAAGTCCCTGCCCTCTTCCGCAGCCCAAGAATCGAAGAGTGCATGGACCGAGTTGTCGGTGCTGGGAGCGGGCTTCTCTAGCCGCTTGCCCAACAACTGCTCCTGGGCAACCTTGATGACCATATCCCTGGACTGCTGTTGCTGGTCCTCGGCCTCCACAGCCTCCTTCTCGATTCGAGCCAAGTCCTTTTGAAATCTCCGGAGTTCTCGCTGGTAATTGGCCTTGGCTAGCCGGTCGTACTCGGCCCACTGTTCCTGAGCTTGGTCGTAGGCCTTGTGCAGCTTGCTGACCTTGATCTCTGCCCGTCTGGCGATATTCAGAGCAGCTTGCATATCCGGCACCAAGCCGCCAGGTTCGGGGCCCTGCCCTGGCGGGGTCGGCGGCTGCTGTGTGGGGGTAGCCTTGTTCGAAACACCACTGTATGTCGGAAAAGTGGGCTTCGCTTTGGCCTTGGGCCACCAGGGAGCACGTGAGGGTGAGTAGGCACCAGGCCATACCTTCCACTTTCCCTGAGGATCGTCGCGGTCGGGATCCTGCCATGTCTCTGTATGCTTGCCTCGTCCGCGGCCCATAAGGTGTCGGAGACGAACACGTCGGCGAGCAAAGAGAGGGCTTTACGACTCACTTGTCGTCCAGCCTTCAAAGAAGCCCTGGTGCGGGATCGCACCTGTCGCGCCCTCCGATGCCAAGAGGGGGAATGCCAGCCACGGGTTATGGCGGCACAGCACGCGTCCTAGACGCTGGGGCAGTCAGCGATCGCTACAGCTCGCTGCTGAGCGTGTTCTGAGCCCTATTGGTGTCTAAAGGTGTTGTAAACCAGCCGGGTTTGCCATTACTTCCCTCAAACACATCGAGCAAACTGCACCTATCACATCACCGATACGACCTAGAAGGCTCTCTTGGCAGCCACTGCTTGTACCTTTCAGTATTTGTGTGCTTCCCCCCAGTCTAGACCTGCAGTTCACCACAGAGTGCATGGTCGTCGCATGTTGGGTCCTGCCTGCACTTCCCAGCAACACATGGTACAAACTGCACCTACAACAGCATCCTGTGGAACCAGTAGACTCCCTTCGCAGGTGTGCCATACGTGGCTTTCTTTTTGGTGTTTCTACTCCTGCTACAGTCTGGGATGAGGTACGACGGGTCAGGGCACGATCTCTCTCTCGCTCTCTCTTCTCCGTTACATGCAACCACATTCCTAAACTCATAGTGGAGCATAAACCATGACACATATCAGCAGAAACACTTGCCAGCGAGCACCGCATAGGCTTCCATCTTTTTGCACATCTTCGGAAGAAACTTCATCATCCTGCAAGCTTCCATACCAATGCAGGCTACATCCCTCCCCTTCTGCAATCACTATACGCAAGTATGCAAAAAAGCAGTCGAGCCACCTCTCGTCAATGTCGTGCCCTTCCAAGTAGTCGATACCCTTTCATTACAAGGGTAAGACAATGAGGCCTCTGCAAGCTGTCGCATGAAGCTTATGCCCACGCCTGCTTCATGTACGGAATGAGTTCCCTCTTGCGCCTTCACCGGGTGAAAATCATGCTTTTGTCCAGATTTAGCACTCTGTCCTGGCCGCCGCATGGCCTGGCCTGTTCATGTATTCGACAGTGTCAGTAATTCCGGCCGGAAGGGCAGACGCCACACCAGGAGCGCCTTGCGCAGATGCATGGCACATGGCACGCTCTGGACTCTTCCATCTCGGGACCCAAGCCCAGGATTGGTACAGCCATCAACAGAGCTCGACGAGGAGCTTCACCTGCACGCAATGACAGAATGCAGGGATTTCTTGCACGAAAAGAGGTTCTGCCTGGAACGAAGCTGGCCGAAAATCCTGCAGGGCGTGAGGAGCTTCAGGCAATGAGTGAGAGACTCTCAGGGCAGCGACCATGGCACGAGCGCCAGAAGGCACAAGCCACTGCCGTACCAACGAGCAGCAGCCTCAGCCGATCATGACTGGCCCTTTCTCTGAGACTACGGGCTGCGCTGCCACGTGTGACACTGCGCGATGCTACGCGATGCTCCAAGCCTTCGGTCAGAGTGTCTTCTCATGGCGAGTTTGCCTGAGCATCAACGGGTCTGAGCTCGATGGAACGTGGTTTTTTCATTGCAGGCGAGGGACTCATACGGGCACCGGGGAATGAGGGAATGCTCTGAGCCTTTGTCAAGCCACGGACAGCCAGAACTACGATTGTCCTGCACCAACTACATTTGCTGGACTTTATTGGCTTTTGGACTTGTCATGTTGCTCATTTGAGCGCAATGCGAGCTGAAACATGTTGAAATTCTTTTGTTCGGTGAGACGCGCGCTTCGTAGCAACAGGTGAAACATAAAAGCATCTGGAAATTCGGGCTCCCTCAGGCCTCCTCCGATGTCCGAGCCATTGCTAGGGAGAAGATGCCTTCCAAGAACTCTGCGCAAGCTTTGCGAATTTTGCGATGTTTTCATCGTAGCTCTGGACAGCCCAGATGAGATGTACCTGGCACTGCGCATCTCAGAATCTAGGAAAGCACAGGGCAAGACACAGGCGGGCTTGCTTTGTCGCCATTCTGGACTTTGGTTGGCATATGGCTGGGTATGCCGCGAAGAAGTCGAGTTTCCTTTTTGGACGACCTGGAAAGCACTCAAGGATCCCATCCACACACAACGAGTGCACACGAGCGGGTCAGCACAGGCAGAGCCAGAGTCAGCTTGCAGCCTCGTACTTGCAGCCAGAAGAAAATCCGGCTGCATCGGCATGCAACTGGCTCAGGCACTTGGGTATAGATGGCTGGAAAATCCACTGATTTACGTACTCCGTCAGAACGAGCCGCCTCTAGCAGCTGCAAGGCATGCCGGTCCTTCCTGTCATTAGACAACTTGCCGTGACAAAATGGTCATGACGCAACAGCAGCAGCTTGCGCATCACTTGGACATAAGAGTTGACTCAAGCAGGTGCTCCAGCTGGGGACTGATGTTTTCACAACCAAAAACCGACGCGGATGCCTGTAAGTGCTTGCCGGATTCTCTGGTTGACTAGCAGGAGGTGCCAGCGTACAAGCTCTCGCGTGTGTTTTCTTCACTGATGCATTCAAGCTCCGAATCCCGGATCCAGAATCAACTCAACCTTGACGCCTTGCCAGCTCGTATCATGTTCACAGATTGCTTCCGAGAGGGAACAATGGGGCTTCAGGATAAAAAGAAGCCATCACTCTCGGGGAATCTCAACGAGAGACGCAAATGTTACCATCAGGAGCAGCGCCCCGAGAACTGCTTGTGGAGTGTCCATGCACCTTGGGAGATGTTTGTCAGTGGGGAAAGAAAACGCCATGGAAATCCTTACCCCACGGTGGAAAGCTGCTCTGCAGCCACGGCCGCTCTTTGCAAGGAAGCATGGACATAGCAACTTCGAGATCCGCCTTTACGTACCCCGAAAGTCGGGAGCTCACATGGAAGTGCGGAGCCCAAACAAAGCGAAAGCAAGAGTGACGGGGCACGACGGAGTGAGTCCCGATTGACTTTGAAGCATCACAAGGAGAGTTTCTGCGCAATAGCCGGCAGGACAAATGCCGCATTTTTATCCTGTGAAGCGCATAAGGAAATGGCATCTAGCGAGGTGTTCGCGATTCTAACATGTTGAACCCGGCCGCCAACGAGCCTGTCGGAAGCATGCACACGATGAATGAACTGGAAGTTGGCCCCAGTTTCCTGCCACGAGGTCAAATCATGCCGCGGGCGACATGCATTTTGCAGCAGCCTTGCCAGCACGGCCAGTCCAAAGGCTTGGGACCTTGCTAGGCACCAGACCGCTGAAAACACGAGCGGCGCGGGAAATGTCTTACACTCCCGAGGCCTGACACGAAACCGGCAACTCCGAGAGACAAGAAACATCCCGGACACCGTGACACGAGACGATGCTCAAGGAATCCAAAACTTCGACAGGTTGCACCAGGATGCTAATCAAGGCAAGTTGATGTGCAAGGAACCCTTTATGCGTGGCCTTCAGCTGAGGCAGCATTCTGAGCAGTCCCAAAACGATCGCCCTCCAGTTCACGGCTTTCTGAAAGGAACCTTGTGACCGTCCTACTTTGCCAATCGCTTAACAGCGCAGTACCCCCATCTAAGCGATTGCGGACCGTGACCCATGTACGACGATTGAACTCTTGTGTCCGACACTCTGGTTCTGGCAGATGGCTGGGTTGAAGGGACAGCTAGCGTTTCTCAAGCAACTGCGTGTTGTCACACACCTGGAGTCAAGCTCTCGAACTCTAGGGGCACTGCTGATGTTGACATCTCAACCAATCCGCGCGAATTATGCTGGTGCAGGCGGTGCAGGTCTGCTGCACGGGGCCATGTCGGAATGGCCCTTGGGCCAGTGGCAAAATGCCAATAACAGCTTGTTGTGCTGCAAAGCTGACAGAACAGCCTTCGAATCTCCCTACAAAGGAAACGCCTTTGACTGAGCAGGCTCGTCAGCTCGTCCAGTCCGGTCATGCCAATTGGCGTCGACCCCAGTGAATTCAATTGATTAAGTTGCAATGTCGTCAGGCACTTGCGGAGCTTCCGACAACCCATTAATTTCATCCAACAGTGTGCTTGACCGAGAAAAGTCGACAAGATTTCACTCACCCATTCATGGTGTGCTGTCGCGCCTGCCAGGAGCCATCTGTCCAGAGTCTGACTGGCGTTTCCATGCTGTCATGCAATCGATGAAGCCTAGCTGTGTTTTTTCTGCTGAGGAGCATTGAAAGGAAGTGGCAAAGGTCCTACAATTACATGCTAAACCCTTCCGCTTGATGACGTCTGACCATGGCTCGCAGCTGGGGCCTCGGAACATCGCTTCATGACTCCAGGGAACCAACAGCACCAACAGTACCTGCAAAACGTCGTTGACCTTCACAACATGAAACATGCAGAAAGAGTGATATTCGTGCGACCTGCGCTTCTGACAAGTACTGAACCCAGTTCCAGCAAGTGAAAAATAGGGTGTGCAACGCCACTACTGAGAGCAAACATTCGAAAGCCTTCAGTCACAACGACTACACTAGCTGCCAGAACAGACAGCGGAAATCTGCAGGATCCTACACATTGTCTATGCACTTCTGGTCTGCGTGCATAACGGGAACAAGCACCTGCAGTGCATATCTGTGGCCGCTGCTCTTGATGCTCAGCGAGGGTTGGAGCTACCAGTAGTGGGAAACCGAATTGGATCCGTTTGTTCAGAACGTGATTTGAATTTACACGGGCCATACGGGCCATAGGTAGAAAGCGACACCCATTACAAGCAAAACGCTACTTGCCTTGAGTTCTGCTCGGCCAATGTGGCAGCAATTTGCCCGCGCTTGCAAATCCCAGCTGCGCTTCCGCAGCATCTGCATTACCTGCATAAGATGCATTGCTTGTTAATTCGGCCGCGACGCCCAGATAAACGCAAGTTCCGTGCCAGGTACTACATTACATTGAAGATACCACAGCAATCGCGCCTGCGCATGCTGCACATCAGCATGCTCACAAATGCGCATAAAGGCAGCCACCTCCTCCTGACTGGTGTCATGTACGGACCGGCACGGCAATGCTAACAAGTAACAAGAGGTTCAGTACATACATCACCATAGATCAAGAAGAGGCAAGCCTGCGGCCACGAGCGGAACTCTGGATCTACGAAGACCTCGCCTGCATGCGCTTGACATCTGCAGAACAAGCATGCTGGAGTTACATCAATGACATGATCCGATGCTGACATGCCGGCATAGCTCAATGCAAAACAAAATGCGAAACGAGAACCCCAAATCAATCCCCTGGATACGTAATCCATGGCAAATGTCGATACCCGACCCACTTTACCGACGTACGTACGTTGAGGTAGCAAGAAGAGCACCTGTACTGTACAAATATATTTACATATATATATATATATATATAGATATATAGATATATTTTTTTGGTGTAATGTAATATACCCCCCCCCCTGCATCTTCTGCCTGTTGAGCTTGGAAACATTCAATTGGTAACATTACGTGGGTATAACCTTTCTGTGTGGTTCTAACCAACAGGGTGCCTAAACCACCAAACCAATAAACTATGAAACCAATTCTTTTGCCCTATACCGCTAAATCCATAAACCATTAAACCATCAAACCAATCCCTTTGCCCCAAACCACTAAACCATTAAACCATTAAGCCAATCAATTTGCCCCATACCACTAATCCCCTTAATGAACCTAACCAATATACCATTAAACCATTGAACCACGCATTTCCCCCATAATGAACCTAGACCCATCATTCAACCTAAACAATTTAGCCATTGAAACATTAAACCTGTCATTTGCCCCAATGAGCCCAACATACCAATACATAGGCCAAAAGGATTGGTTTAATAGTTTGGGTGTCCCGTGCCCTATAGGCAAAATGGATTGGCTTAATGGTTTAATGGTTTGATGGTTTAACAGTTTAATGGTTTAATGGTTTAGTGGTTTAGTGGTTTAGTGGTGGGTCTAAGGGCTGCCTACTACGCGGCAGTCCTGGTTACTACCAGAAACACAGGTTATTTCCAGGCCACAGAATACCTTCAGAGTTTGAAGACTGTGCCCCATACATAGACCACATGGACTGGCTTATTGGTTCAATGGTTTAAGTCTTCCGGGCTATGTTCGCTGTTTTGGGAGTCCACTGCACGCATGGGCCATTTGTCGACAACCGTAGAGTCAGGTGCCGGCGGTGTCGTCTCCGCCAGTCAGTGCATCGTTTTGCTTCTTGTAACCGCTTTTCGAAGGTTTGTACAGGTTGAGGTCGCGGGATGGCTTAGCCATGTTTCTCATGTCAAAAAAAATGCTTTATAGCCCAAGCGGGTTGTCTCCACCAAACCCCAGCACCAAACCCTAAGCAGTTTAAGTCAAACCCACCACTTTTTATGGTGAGAAAGTATATTGGTAAAATGGGGAGTGGTTTGGGTACCAGTGAATTGTTCAAGATTGTCTGTTGGTTTATTGGTTTCGGACCCTACCTGTAAAATTGGCACTCCGTATCGAAACACCGGACCGGGGGAGCTTATCAACCAGGGTTGCGGTTTTCAAACTTGGGGGTGCCTTCACTGTCCCGTTACTCAATAAACCTTACGAAGCAAATCTGTTTCATCTCTACTTCATCAACACCTAAATCCAAACGTTCGAGAGATTCGGTGTTTCAGAAGAAATGTAATCGCAATGAAGTTAGGCAAAAACTAGAAGAATAGATGGGGGGTCTGAGGTATTCAGCACTCATTCGGTTTTTTGAGGCATGTTGCAGTGCTTTGTAATGCACATAATTCCCGCACCATATGCATTTATCGGAAAGGCCATACAGCGGACTTTTCGTAGTGGTCTTTCCGTTCCAGTACAACGGGTTTATAAAAAAAACAATCTATATAAATATTTAACGAATAAACGCTTACATGTCACTCACCCAGGAATCAAAATGCGGAAATGTGAGGTGGCTTGTATCGGGATTACAGCAGGCCAGTAAGTGTTGTCTACATTGGAATAGCAAGGTACGGAGAAAGTTGAGATGCGACATAGACGAACTGATTGCAACATTATGTTCAAACATCATTCCACGGAAGCAGGATTTCGATGAGACCAAAGTGATAAGAACATGTGTGGTGAGCGGAACAAAATTTGCAGCCTACTGTTAGGTGCCCCCCCTAGGTACCTAGCAACTTCGTAGCAATGCTACTTCCAACTACATAGGGGCCACTCTCTGTCGAGGAGTGTTTCGGTGCGTGTTTACCACTTTTTTGGAATCACGTTCTGGACTGGGAAAATGGCCTTTATTCGGGCTCCAATAGATGTTCACAAGAACACAAATATAAATTCGAACAGCCTACATGAGGCCTTATGGTTTTCAGTCGGCTATATGTGATGGTTAATGGATGCAAGCGCAAAGATTTCATCACTCGGCATATAGAAACAGTGCCAAGCATACAAAACGACAGGAGACACACTATACAACGTTTGTTTGCTAAACTTGTAGTATGCAAGCTTTCAGTTATAGTAGCGGCAGTCATTGTACAGAATTAAGGAATGCAATACGGGATGTACCAATGTTTAAGAGCAATCACATAGGGCACGGGAATCTGCTATTGAAAGGTATATGCTGCCAACACAACATAGCAATTCTTCCAGCAACTTTTAGTTCCAAAATTTAGTTCGCCATAAAGCATGACTGAACCAGACGTCTGACTAAAGCGTATTTGTTGACAAATCGGAAATACAGCGGTTTAGACAGTCACACAAAGATGAAATACGAAAATGAATCGACGGCTTGAAGGCAAGTATTCTAGCACATTGTAACAGGGATTCGGCGAGGTCGTCATAGAATTCTTGACGCAGTGCGGGCTTCAGCTGGTCTGCATTTTGAAAGCATGGGTTGTTGCAACTTCCCGGGTTTGTCTCCAAACTAGTTTTGCACAGTTGCTGGGGAACGCAACGCAATCCTAGCACTTGTAGGGGGATGGCACGCACGGGAACGAACAGGGTGAGAAAAATCCATGATCATCCATAGAGACTTAGATGCTGCATATTTTGTGTTGGATTCGACTTGGACTGAAAAACATGTGAATGCGCGATTGCTTATATGCTTTGCTCCAGATTCAAGGATGTCGAAGGTTTAAGCTTTCGGTGGGTTTCAAAACCTGTTGCTGGTAACATTTGTACAACGGTGCGGAAGTGCAGCGGGGGATACTACGAAGCCCCTTTAGATTATATATACATGGTCCCCCCCCAAAGATCTATGTCTATGTGTTTGCTCTCTTCTAAACTCTTTTCACATGCCAACATCTCCTCACGACCACTCTTCCACTCGCAATCGTCTGTTTTTGCTCTCTTTTCGGCTCTTTTCACGTGCTAACATCTCCTCACGACCACTCTTCCACGCACCAACCCCTCGTTCAACTCACATGTCTCGGATCATCTCCTCATCACCGTACAAATCGACCACATTGAACAATATTTCAATATGGTCTCGAGAAAGTCCATACGCACAAACCGACCATATTGAAACCCAATGCGGCCCAATATTTCAATATGGTCTCGGGAACGTCCCTATTGAAATAATGAACCACATTGAGTTTCAATATGGCGAATCCAAGATTGCACGGGACTCTTGGGGAGGAATGTTGGATCATGGACCTTGGATCTGCTACATTGAAATTCGATATGGCCTCAATATTTCAATATGGCCCCCCCTGAACCCAAGATACCTTCCAGGACCCTGAACCCAAGATTCCTTCCAGGAGTCCCGTGCAATCTTAGATGTTGGATCCGCCATATTGAAATTCAATGTGTCTTAATATTTCAACATGGTCCTCTGCCCCTCTTGGTTTTGTTACTTCCACGGCTCTTGTGACACTCTGCATGTGTACATCTGCGGCAGTCTGCATGTGCATATCTGCTACATGTGCATAGCAAGAGAGCTTGAAGCAACTGCATCATTCCCGTTGCCGCCCTTGGTATCTCAAACCCGCTACGCCGCATCCTTGCTGTCTTCTGCCACGATGCAGTAGTGGAACAACATCACGGGCATCGTCGCTTTTCACATCGGCGCGGCCCTGCTCCGATTGGCGCCAGCCTCCTCGTCCTCTGCTGCGCCGGCGCCATCCGAGACAGCATGGGAATATCGGACGCCATGGGGCGTGACCAGGAATGACGAGCTGATGATGGCGACAATCGTCAGCGGTGACGCGCCGGTCCACGCAACACGCATGCCGATGTTATCGTTGGCGCTTCAGGGAGGCAAAGGCGGAGTGGGATCGAGCCTAAGGTGCTTGAGTAGAGAGTGTGCGCTTCGGGAGAAAAATTTCTTCGCAGCTGCTTGCTTCTTATGCACCATGCCTACCAACTATCCAGGACTTCTCACAACCACAACCACATCCTGTTCTTCCGCAATGTGCTTCTCTCGAGACACTTGCCCTTCTCGCCCGTAGCTTCAACTCTCTTTGTGCCTGCCGCAGATGTGATGGAATTCGAACCGCTACACTCATGTTTGACTTCCACTCTAAGGTCCCCGAGCTCCGGGGTTTTGTTCGCTTGGGCGAGTTGATCCAGCAAGGGGAGATACAAGACCTGCCTGCGCCTCTAGCCCTCAACGGCAACCTTCCCCCGCGCGCCAAGCTGGGCATTATCGCACACAGCTGGGATTCATGGTCAAGATTCTTCGACAAGTCTGCCGTAAGCAGTGGGCTGGAACTCTGCGCTGGCAATGCTTACATTCCTGTTTTCCTGGCGGAACTGGGCTCTTGAAGGCCATGCAGCACCTGCTGCAGCAGCATCTACCGGACGCCTCCTGTGGAACCACGTGGTGCAGAAGCAACAGTCCATTCAGAGGCGCTCCTCGTCACAATGGACTCCGGATGTTGAAGCCCTGAAGGCTAGGAAAAACTACATCAATGCCCACGCCCCGAAGGAGGCTGCCCAGAACGAGCAGATGTTATGGATTCTCTGCGAGATTCGCGAGGACTCAGGCTCACCAATCTGGACAATCTCAAGCAACGAGTGCCGCGGGTCCAAGAAGCGACTTTCCTCGACGGTCCCCAAATAGGGATCACGTGAGCACCTCGGATCTCAGAAGCTTCATCACGGCCGACGAGGAACAGACCTGCAGCGGCAGATACTCTGACGTGCGGCTGACAGGCACAA